GTTTTCTTTTACTCAGATTACGAGTTTGAGACGTAAATGGTTTCGTAATTTCTGGATCCAAAGTTCAAGTAAATTTTGAATGTAAAATCTACCATATGATATATATGCGAGAAATCTCCTCTCAGATTCAGATTTCTGATACAGATTCAGATTTGTAAAGCATTGATAAACAGCCTACAGCTTATGCTAGTCCTTTTCTAGCAAGCTTTTGAGTGTCTAGTCTTCTCTTAAATGATTTATTTAGAAGGGTGGATACCATCTCTTCGGGTAACGGGTTCCAAGAATGAATGATTAGATGTGAAAACTTGTATGACATGGGTATCTTGTTCGTTCTTAGCTTTTCTACTCGCATTCTATGTATTAGGAGTTGTCGTGATTTGGCAGGAATAAAGAGAGAGGATATATTAGGTCCAAAATCACGTCTTGGTATTCTGCACATCGAAATCAGATCTCTTAATCTGCGATAGGATAGAGTAAAGAGGTCCAGCTTTTCAAGTCACTCTTTGTATGGTAAACTACAGAGCTCTGGATTTGTACAGGTAGCTGCGTTCTGTACTTTTTCCAGGATGTCTGAGTCACTCTTTAAACAATGGCTTGCAACTGGAATGCAGTTTCCAAGTTTGGATCATTCTAAGGTTGTGTAAACTGTATTCAACATATTAGTATCAGTCTTGGTAAATGGCTATTTTAAAACTCATAGATCTCAAAACTCTTTACTCGCGACTGAGCGGCAGATGGCTGTGATCTTGAGATCATGACTTGCTGTCATCCCGAGATCATCATGAGACCGAACTAAGGGCACAGACTCTTTCCTTATGCTATGCCTATTCGCTTTCGTAGTCCCAGTATGCAAATAGACACATTTGATAGGCATCGGCCATTTTTACACCAGCTATTGAAAACATTTAAGTTTGCTAGAAGTGCACATGCGACCTAGTCTCCTGTTATTCCCCACTAGACTTTCGCATTAGCGCAAAGTAATATCGAGGAGTCAACAGCACTTGAGAGTTCATTTACATACAGTGTGAAAAGTAAATGATTTAGGACAGAGCCTTGCTGTACTGCACCAAGTACTGGTTTCCATGAGGAGCACTTGAAATTCGCTCCTACCTTATGTCTGCGATTTACCAAAGAACCCTTAATCCACTTTAGTAGAGGTCCGTCAATGCTTGGATTTTCAATGTACAAGAGCAGTCTATTATTTAGCAGCTTATCAAAAGCTCTGCTTAAGTCTAAGTAAACAACACTCAATGATTTTCCATTATCTAGTCAATCGGTCCTTTTCTCTTTCGCCATAAGGTTTTTTGTATAGTATAATTTTGTTCTGATGTAATGTTCGCCATTTTACAAGTTACTAGCTTCCACGAATTTTGTTATGGCCTTTTCGTTTATTTATTCCAGTATTTTATTCACAACAGCCGTGAGCTTGTCTCGACCCCGTTTTGTATATTGAAGTGATAATCGCATCCTTTCAGTCTGTAGGTAACTTACCTTGTCCAAATGACATATTGAATACGGTAGTCAATGAGGGAGCAAGACCATTCTCATGAATTGCACACCAATATTTATTGAGAATAATGATGTACGCTAACTAGAGTTACCACCACTATGGATCACTGATTTTGTAGATTTACTTAGAAAGTGTAAGGTTTGAAAGAAGGATTAACCCGCTCTACGCGTCTCGGATTCTCTTATATCCTGATTCTAGGGGACTTCAATCTTCCTAGAATCAACTTCGTGGAACATACATACATTGGTGGTGCCAACTCTACTGAAGCTCTGTTCTTCAACCTTATCGGTGACCTGGGATTATTCGAAAATGTGAAGTCGGCAACTCGTTGAAGAAACAGTCAGACGCCGTCACGCTTAGACTGGGTATTCGCAAATGAAGAATTCCTAGTTGACGACCTCTCAATCCTGGCTCCCCTGGGGAAAAGTGATCATGCCGTCCTAACACTCAGTTTTGTCAGTAAAACGGAGCTAAGATATCCCACTAACAACGGGCTCTGGAATTTAAAACGGTTGAATGTGTTAGCTTTACGCGACTATCTACAACAGGTGGATTGGTATGTACACCCTCAACTTGAAGTAGATGCTCGTTAGGATTTCTTACTGCACACGACCTTATGTGCTACTGAGAATTCAGTTCCTCAAATGGTCCCAAAAAGCTACAAACAACCTCCAATCATCAAGAACTGCACTCGTCGTTTGCTAAGCCACAAAGGGCACTGTTGGGCTGAATATAAACGAACTGACAATAACGACGCATACAGATAATACAAACATATAAGGAACATATGTTCAAAGGCAATAAGAGAAGACAGACTTCAGTACCAGACCAAGCTGATCGATAAATTTGTCTCCAATCCGAAAAGCTTATTCCATTATGCAGCTTTTATTAGACAAGGCAAAACTGGAGTTTCCCAACTGCTTGAACCTAATGGTCCGACCAATAACGATGGTGATGCCGCTAACCTTTTGGCCGAACAATACTCTCAGACATTTCAGCTTACCCACATCAATTATACTGACGAAAGCTTCATCTGCACCTGTACAGGACTTTCCGAAGTGGACCTGAGTGCTGACCTGGTGCTCCGTAAACTGCAGCACCTAAGAAAAGACACTCCTCCTGTTCCGGATATGGTTCATTCTACTATATTAAGGGGAGCAGCTTCAATCCTGGCAACGCCGCTTAGCATGATGTTTTCACACTCCCTAGGCCGAGGCAAACTACCGGAAATTTGGAAGCTGGCTCACATCACACCAATTTTCAAAGGTGGTCGATGCAGTGAACCCTCAAGCTACCGACCAGTGGCCCTTCTCTCCATACCTCAACCATTTGAACCATTTTGAACTGAGATGACCACGAAATGCTCTATAAACTCATTTGATAGCAGTCTCTTGGAAACAGTAATGGAACATGCATTAGTACAACATGTATCCAAACCTACACGTTTTGGTGTAAACCAAGGTTCTTCTCTGTTGGACTTGGTAATTACCCATGAGACTGAGGATATCGCCAACCTAAATATTCTTCCCCCGTTAGCAAATAGCGATCACGCTGTTTTATCATTCACGTTTAGAGCTAGCGATATGATATACGATCAGATTAAGCCTCGCCCAAACATATGGAGAGCTAACATACCAGAAATTCAGGATTGTGCTACTAAGATAGATTGGTCAGTAGATACTAGCTCATCAGTTGATGAGGCGTGGTCTGTATTTAAAGGCAAGTTTAGTGCAATCACGTCCCCGTTTATACCATACTTGGTGCCACGTAGACCGAACAATAGTTCACCGTGGATAAATAAAGAAGTTAAGAAACTCCTTAGGCGTAGAAAAAAACACTGGAACATGTTCATCTCTACCGGCTTAGAACAGTACAGATCTAGTTATCGTAAGAACCCTTAGCGATGCTGTTCGATATGCCCCTACGGCAGTCCAGATTGCCCAGAGACTGGAAGGACGCAATAATCAGTCCGGTGTATAAGACTAGGGGTAGGGATTTAGTTAGTAACTATCGGCCCGTCAGCTTAACTACTGCAGTTGTAAAACTAATGGAAAAAATTATTAGGATGGCTGTTATAAACTACGTGGAAAGACATGATCTTTTGTCAAAGGAACAACATGGTTTTCGAAAAGGTCTATCATGTTTGACAAATCTTCTCATTGTAAGAGAAGATTGGGCTGAAGCAAAAGATCGCGATATTCCTGTAGATGTCATTTTCATAGATCTAAGTAAAGCCTTTGATAAGGTTTCCCATTCTGGTCTTAAATTGAAACTAAAAAGTTTTGGAATTCATTATGCAGTCATAGACTGGATAAATGACTTTCTTCATGAAAGGAGACAAAAGGTAAGAGTAAATGGGGCTCTCATCGTGGGAACCAGTGAAAAGTGGCGTCCCCCAATTCACGATTTTAGGTCCTCTTCTCGAGATGGTGGAGAAGATTTGTAGCTCAGGTGGGTGCTGATGATGTCGTTCAGAAGCTCCACGACCAAACCATCCAGCTCAGAGAACAAACCAACATAAAAAGGTCCTCTTCTCTTTTTACTTTATATAAATGAATTACCAGCTATAGCTAAGTCATCCGTCCTACTATTCGCCGATGACATTAAGATTTGGAGACCCATATATAGTATGTCAGACAGAATAGTTTTACAGGAAGATCTTAACTCACTAGTTGCATGGATGAATGGGTGGTCACTAGAAGTAAACTCTAATAAAAGTGTTGTGATGCAATTAAATAACTACGATGATTCGTATTACTACACAATATGTGGACTAGTGTTGCCCAAAGTAAAAAACTATAAAGATTTAGGAGTCATACTAAGTAATGATCTCAAAACAACCAGTCACTGTAAGGCTGCTGCTGCAAAAGGCTATAGGACATTATGATCTATTCGTTGATCTTTCCGGTATCTGGATGGCGAAATGTTTAGATCATTATACCCAACTTTCGTACGGCCACATTTGGAATATGGGATTCAAGCAGCGAGTCCTTGTTTCAAATATGAGGCGGATATGTTGGAACGAGTCCAACGCCGCGGGACAAAAATGGTAAAAGGCTTATCTAGCATATCTTATGAAGACAGACTGAAACACCTCAACTTATTTCCGTTATCTTACCGGCGAATACGGGGTGATCTAATATTGGCATATCGTATCCTGAACGATGACCTTGGTACTAACATGTCCTATCTTTTCCTCCCGTCTAGGGCTGAGCATTTGAGAGGACACTCAAAGAAAGTCCAAAAACCGAGATCAAATCGTCTACGTCTGGAGTTTCGTTTCTCGCACCGAGTAGTGAATTACTGGAATTCTCTACCAGAACACGTAATATCAGCACCTTCTGTTGATATATTCAAGACGAGATTGGACCTCCACAGTGTAACAAACTGCAAGGATTAAAATAGGTCACTAGACCTCCTATCCTTATTACTGAAGACTGAAGACTTAGTTGTAGCGCTAGGTTCAGATCGCAAGGTCATTGGATTTCTTATGGACAACAGTCCACACACTGAAGGTCGCGCACGCAAGAAAAGCGTTAGCGGCGAAAAGTACATGGTTGTTTGGGACAATTGTAAGGTATGTATCTGTAAATTGTATTTATATACCGAGTAAGGTGCTTCGTTTTTTGTACGTAATCTCTAAGATTAATGAAATCAGTATGAAAGTCTGTTTCCAATTTTATTTACTCTGTTGTTTTTGTAGTAACAAACAGTTTTCATCGCACTTCCACCTTAGTATTGGCGTGATGTTCGACGAGAGTTAGGTTTCAGTAGTCTAATAGAATTTTTCAATGCTCCTCATGGGGAAACTGCAGTCTTCTGATTTTGGGAGAAATTTGTTGAATTTTTCTCAAATTCACTTAAAAACTCGTTACTTCCCTCAAAATTTCGGGAAAACACAAAATTCACCCTAAAAGTTTGGGGATTTCTTCAGGCCTGATTAATTTTAAGGGCTTGTGTGCTATTTTTCCAAAATTTTCTATTGCGGCTTTCCCCAAATTTGCCCAAAAACGGACTAAATTTTCCCCAGAGTTGGGGGATTAGGTTTCTAAAATATTGGAAGGCAAAATTGAGTGGCTGTTTCACATTTAATGTATTTTTGTACCATTCGGTATACTTATGGGAATATAAACATTAGCTACGTATGGCGTAAGCATTATTCGGCTTTCACTATGGAATCTTGTACGTGGAAGTAATGAGATTAATACTTACTCTAATGTTTCCTACTGATTTGTAAAGTCGCGCGCATATTTGTTGTTGTATCCTCTATTCTCCAGTACTTGGAATTTCCGCGGTTTATGAACAGGCAGTTGATAACAATTATCAGGGGTTTCATCAGCAGAGATCATACAAACCAGATATGAAACTAGAGAACTACTAACGTGGAAGCTAAATTATAATGTCACCAGTGGTTCTGGCCTTTGCGGCCTCTCTGTGTACGCAACTTACGAACTACAAAGTCATCCACTAAATTACGGTAACGAATTGTCTGACAAATGATAAAAATATACTATCTTTAGTTGTCAAGACAGTCATTCGAGATTTAAAAAAGCTATAAAGAGCCACCCTAAAATGAAAGTAATTAAGTTAAACGTTATTCCCTCCTTCAGTACTTCAAACTTGCATTTTTAAGCGGTTAGTTCACTACACAAATAGATATTTGATTATAGAGAGCAAGAAGATACCTGATTTCCACTGTCTCAGAGTACTGAACATAAGTCCAGTTATTTGTTTTCATTAGAATGATTAGATTGACTGGCAAACTTGACCACAAATTTTACCCTAATGTTTATTTGACTATTACGAAAACTGTATCAACATGATTGTTCACTGAAGTCTTATCTTTCTGCACAAGTCAGATAGATGAGCGGAAGCGATTAATTGGAGGTGAAGACGCGAATTCTTACTGCCGACTGTGCTAGGTTTTAACAGTTCTAAAGATAGAAAGAAGGGTTAGTTAATGTCAACCACAAAAATGCTCTTCAAAGATAGTTTACATGGGCAGGTTAATAGTGTTAGGTCACCAACATTTTTGAAACAGTAGTGCAATCAATGCATAGGTCACTTCGGAGAACTAAGTGAAATGAAAAATAGATTGAATAAACTGATTTTCACTACTTGATGTGTCTGGGACATGAATTGCGTATGGCAAGCCATTGCTTTTTTTCAATGCTCATTGCTAACTGGATTGAAAGTAGGTTAAAAATGGCCTGAGTCTTTCAAACCAGGTCATTCCATAAGTTCATGTAGTGTTTTATTGATAGTTTGAGGACTGAGTATTCATGTTACTATTTGGATGTAAAATATGGCAACTTGAACTGATACACATCCTCACCAGGTCTTACAGTGTTAATGATCATTAAATACTGTAAACAGTAGGCTTTTAAGCTGGAAATGGCAGTTTACAAGTATTCATAATTTTTATGTAGTTAGTCGTTAACAGTTTCATTATTTGGTATCTCATTCCTATCTTCGAATTGTTTCCTGGTTGAGTTCTGATTGTTCTGCCTGCAGTGCTACACACTTGTACCAACATATACCGTTTTCGCTTATGTTTAGGATACTAATAATTCACAGTAATACTAGTCAGAGTCATAGGCATTGCAACATAAAATGTGGCACAAATCTACACTAGTCAAACTTGATGATCGGTTGCAGAAGTTACTGTTCAAAGTTCTGTTTGCTTTTTCCATCAAGATTCATAATAGTAAATAAAAAATTGATTTATTCACTAGGTACTTGGGTATGAGGCACACTTAGAGTATGAGTTATAATGATTCTACACGACTGCCCAAACCAAATGGGCGTGGGTTCCAAATATTTTATTTAGTGGCTGGATGTCAAACACCACAACCACTGAGCCACCACTCTGCTTTTACTTACTTACTTACTTTCGCCTGTTACTCCCAATGGAGCATAGGCCGCCGACCAGCTTTCTCCAACCCACTCTGTCCTGGGCCTTCTTTTCTAGTTCTTTCCAGTTCTTGTTCATTCTTCTCATGTATGTCTCTATTTCTCGGCGTAATGTGTTCTTTGGTCTTCCTCTTCTCCTTCGACCTTCAGGATTCCATGTGAGGGCTTGTCTTGTGACACAATTGGGTGATTTCCTCAAAGTGTGCCCAATCCACTTCCAGCGCTTCTTCCTGATTTCTTCCTCCACTGGATGGAATCTGGTTTGTTGTCTCCCACAGTAACTTGTTGCTGATAGTGTCTGGCCATCGGATCCGAAGTATCTTGCGTAGACAGCTGTTAATAAACACTTGTATCTTCTGTATAATGGCTTTCGTAGTTCTCCACGTCTCTGCCCCATACAGAAGAACTGTCTTGACATTTGTATTGAAAATTCTAACCTTGGTGTTGGTTGACAATTGTTTTGAGCTCCAGATGTTTTTCAGCTGTAGGTATGCTGCTCTTGCTTTGCCGATCCTCTCCCTCACATCTGCATCTGATCCACCGTGTTCATCAATGATGCTTCCCAGATATGTAAAGATTTCCACATCCTCCAAAGCTTCTCCGTCAAGTGTAATTGGATTGGTGCATATTGTATTGTATCGGAGAGTCTTGCTTTTCCCTTTGTTTATATTGAGACCTACTGCTGCTGAGGCTGCTGCTACACTGGTCGTTTTCTCCTGCGTTTGTTGTTGTGTTTGTGATAGAAGAGCCAGATCATCCGCGAAGTCTAAATCGTCAAGCTGCATGCTGCCTGTCCACTGTATCCTGTGCTTTCCTCCAGATGTTGACGTCTTCATAATCCAGTCGATCACCAGGAGAAAGAGAAAGGGTGAGAGTAGGCAACCTTGCCCAACACCGGTCTTTACCTCGAACGAGTCGGTGAGTTGTCCTCCGTGGACGATTTGGCAGTTTAGTCCATCATAGGAGTTCCGTATGATGTTGACTATCTTCTCAGGCACGCCGTAGTGTCGAAGAAGCTTCCATAGTGTCGTCCTGTCCACGCTATCAAATGCCTTCTCGTAGTCGATGAAGTTGATGTTGAGTGATGAATTCCATTCGATTGATTGTTCCACAATGATCCACAGAGTTGCGATTTGATCTGTGCACGATCTATCCTTACGAAATCCAGCTTGTTGATCTCGAAGTTGAGCGTCCACGGAATCCTTCATCCTGTTTAACAATACTCTGTTGAAGACTTTTCCTGGTATTGAGAGGAGAGTGATGCCCCTGTAGTTGTCGCACTTGCTCAGATCGCCTTTCTTTGGTATCTTGATGAGAAGTCCTTCTTTCCAGTCTGTTGGTACATGTTCTTCGTCCCAAATCTTACTGAAGAGGATGTGGAGTATCTTGGCAGTTGCTGTTACATTTGCTTTCAGTGCCTCTGCCGGGATGTTGTCTGGTCCCGCTGCTTTGCCACTCTTGACTTGTCTAATGGCCATGCTGATCTCTTCAATTGTTGGTGGGCCAATATCGATTGGGAGGTCTGTGGGTGCTGCTTCGATGTTGGGTGGGTTCAGTGGAGCTGGTCGATTCAAGAGTTCCTTGAAGTGTTCTACCCACCTGTTTCGTTGTTCTTCAATATCGTTGATTACTTTGCCTCCCTTGTTTTTCACTGGTCTTTCTGGTTGACGGTAATTTCCAGCAAGTTTCTTTGTTGTATCATACAGTTGTCTCATGTTTCCCTCTCTTGCAGCCTTTTCCGCTGTCATCGCTAAATCTTCCACATATTTACGTTTGTCGGTCCTGATGCTTCTCTTTACTTGCTTGTTTGCCTTTGTGTATTCGGCTTGTGCCTTGGCTTTTTCTGCTCTTGTTCGGCTGATATTGATTGCTACCTTCTTGTTCCTCCTTGCTTCAATTTTATCCAGTGTACCAACAGTGATCCATTCCTTGTGATGGTGCTTCTTTTGGCCCAGAACCTCCTGACATGTTGAAACGATTGCCTCCTTGATACCTTTCCAGCTGCTCTCTATGGTGGTTCCCTCTCCATTGAGTAGGTCATGAAAGGCCTCGAACCTGTTGCTGAGGGCTATGTTAAATTCGTTGAGTTTGTCAGCATCTCGAAGAAAGGCTGTGTTAAACTTTTGTGATGTTGTCCGCGCCGTTGTCCAGTGCTTCTTGAGTTTTAGTTTCATCTTGGCGACCAGCAAATGGTGATCGGATGCTATATCAGCTTCTCTTCTGGTTCTCACATCCTCCATCGTCCTCCTGAACTTTTTGTTGATGCAGACATGGTCGATTTGATTTTGTGTAGTGTGATCCGGTGAAATCCAAGTGGCTTTGTGTATGTTTTTGTGTGGGAATATGGTGCCACCTATGACCAGTTTATTGAAGGCACATAGGTTTGCAAATCTCTCACCATTTTCGCTCCTTCCTCCCAGTCCATATTGTCCCATGACGTCTTCGTATCCAGTGTTGTCCTTTCCAACCTTGGCATTGAAATCTTCCATTAGAATGGTCAGGTCCTTGGTTGGGCACTTCTCGAAGATTGACTGCAGCCTATCGTAGAATTGGTTTTTAGCGTCTTCATCGTAGTCGTTGGTCGGCGCATAGCATTGGATGATGTTCATTGTAATGCCCTCTCTCTTTGTTCTGAAGGAGGCTTTGATGATCCTCGGTCCATGAGATTCCCATCCTATAAGTGCATTTTGTGCTTTTCTAGACAGCATCAGTGCCACTCCTTGTGTATGTGGGGCATTTTCTTCTTCATGACCGGAGTATAACAGAAGTTCCCCTGAAGACAGTCGTTGTTGTCCAACCTGCGTCCAATGTGTTTCACTGATTCCAAGCACTTCCAGGTTGTATTTCCTCATTTCCGCAGAAATTTGGAAGACTCTGCCGGTCTCCCACATTGTCCGGACATTCCATGTACCTATAAAAATTGTCGCTCTGGTTGTAAGAAGGTGCATCGGCCTCATGACTTCCGAATGAACTCGGCTTTCATCATGAGACGTCATTTTTCCTTCTACTCCCAGGGCAGAGTTTGAATGGTTTGAATGATTTTTTCTGGTTAGCGTTTTTTTAGCGAGTTGATTTTCTACGGGATGGGGTCGCTAACCCCATGCCCAACCCTCCTCCTTTACCCGGGCTTGGGACCGGCAGTAGCCCCTGGAGGAGCTACAGGCGGAGTTACTCTGCTTTTAGTAGTACAATAAAGACATAGTTTTCTCGTTTTACTGCAGTAAGCGATGTTGGTAACTTCAAAACTACCTAGTTAATATTCGCGTGATAACCGCGATCAGTTGTTGGGGACTTTAAGTGACATAAATTAAAATTAGTTACAACAGTAAAGACGTATTCACTCTTGTTCGTCCTTCAACTATTTATTTATGCCCCCAAATGCCCTGGTACGGCCGAGAATGGGGAGAGTTCACTCTCCCTCTCCAAATGCTCTCTCATGGCCACGCGAATATATAGCCTCTACCAGGGAAGTCCTACTCACTGCCTTCTCGAGGTGGGGGTGTTGTTCACAAAAGTGAGAAGACGAAAAGCGAATGTCCTGTGCTTTAACCGGGTTGGTGGACATGGGAATTCACCTAGGGGAGTTGGAAAACCCTTATTCCAAACCAATGGTGCACATGGGCTCCAGTATCCTGAAGGAACAAATGGCGTATGAACCAACTGTTGGTCACCGGCTACCATGGGACTGCATCTCCTTACGATGCTCCTGCACTGCCTTGTGGACTAGACCTTTAGGTCGAAGGCTCCGGGTGTGGTCCCCTAAGAAAACCACCTGCTTCAGTCTGGGCACCTGGACAGATTTGTGAGATTTGTGAGGCGCATATTTATCTGGTGCTTCCTTGTACCAATATTTATGTGTTTAAATAAATAAATAATAAATAACCTGGACAGTATCACAGCCCTCACACAAATCGAATGAGATTTGTGAGGCGCATATTTATCTGGTGCTTCCTTGTACCAATATTTATGTGTTTAAATAAATAAATAAATAATTCAACTATTTAATTTCAATATTTCTTCATACGTACTGTTTCACTCCGTCTTTTTGTACTATGTTTTCAGTGCTCAATCTCTCTCATTGTCATTACTACTACTGCACCATTAAAGTTCGGTTGATATTCATCTTGTTGATTTTATCTCGTGTTATTCTTGGTACGGCAGCATATTTTTTTTTACCAGGCTTTAAGTTATTTATGACTATTATTTAACTCATCTGATAGCGAAGATTTATTTACTTACTTTTAAGCCACATGGTTATTGTGAGAAATTGTAACACCATTTAGCTTCACAAACTGTAAAATAGGTGGAACAGAGTATGAACCCACCACCTACTGATCGAGGTCTAAGTACTTTAACCACTGAGCTACATTGATCAGGATTAACACTGCTAATCTCTTAAATTAATCAAATGACTAAGAAAACATTATTGTTGTAGATAAACTTGTAATCTCCAGGTTTAATCTTACGTGTTTGTGTTACTATAGAGGATTTTCAGAATAGTACAAAAGTCATGTGGGAATACATCGGTTTGTTTAAAAAAGTATACTAATACCAAAAGACAAATGGAGTTTAGCCATCATGTATCCAGTTATATGGTTAATTATAAGCCACTAATATATGCACAGACTAATAGTAGTTTCTTCAGTCAGTCAGTCAGTCAGCTACAACGTAGGACCAGGCACACATATGCATCGGTTCAAGTTGCCATACCTCGTTAGCACAACAAGATAAACACCGGATTCATAGAAATAGTTAATTTAGTGGTGGTAGTAGTTTCTTAGTGCTTAAAAATCGTTAAATTAAAACAGGACTTAAGTGTTCAGTGTCTAAACTGTCAAAACAAGTCAAAGGTATTAAATATGTCTATGATTTTTCTGATGAATCTGTAATAAAATATTCTACTGATAGTCCCTGTGTGCCTGTTGGAAAATGATTAGTTGTTGTAACTGTACTAAATGCTAATTATATGATAAGTTTAAATCTTACTGAAAAGAATGTTGACATACATGAGTCAGAGGCAATTATAGGCAATTCATAAACTCTAAACCGAAATAAAACTTTCTTCATCAGTTATTGCTATTTCGATCATATCACCATCCTCTAGTTAAAGCAGTTAAATATTCCTCTTTTTTAAATATCTTTATTCATTTTCAGAGTAATGAATCACCAACTACTTTTCTGCATGTCGAAGAATTGTGTAAGTTCAGCATATATATATATATATATATATATATATATATATATATATATATAATGTTAGCTCCTATTTCGTTCATGTTTATTTTCAGCCCCCAAATGCCATGGTACGGCGGAGAGTGGGGAGAGTCCACTCTCCCTCTCCAAATGCTCTCTCATGGCCACGCGAATATATAGCCTCTACCAGGGAAGTCCTATTCACCGCCTTCTCATGACTGGGGTGTTGTTTACGAAATTGAGAGGACGAAAAGCGAATGTCCTGTGCTGTAACCGGGTTGGTGGACATGGGAATTCACCTAGGGGAGTTGGAAAACCCTGATTCCAAACCAATGGTGCACATGGGCTCCAGTATCCTGATGGAACAAATGGCGTATGAACCAACTGTTGGTCACCGGCTACCATGGGACTGCATCTCCTTACGATGCTCCTGCACTGCCTTTCTGGACTAGACCTTTAGGTCGAAGGCTCCGGGTGTGGTCCCCTAAGAAAACCACCTGCTTCAGTCTGGGCACCTGGACAGATTTGTGAGATTTGTGAGGCGCATATTTATCTGGTGCTTCCTTGTACCAATATTTATGTGTTTAAATAAATAAATAATAAATAACCTGGACAGTATCACAGCCCTCACACAAATCGAATGAGATTTGTGAGGCGCATATTTATCTGGTGCTTCCTTGTACCAATATTTATGTGTTTAAATAAATAAATAATCTGGATGTGGCCATTTAAGAAAACCACCTACTTCGGTTTGGGCACCCGGGTAGTATCACAGCCCTCACACAAATCGAATGAGTTTTGTGCGGCGCATATATATATCTGGTGTTTCCTTGTACCAATATTTATGTGTTTAAATAATAATAATGTGAACTAATCAAATGCAATTAATAAATAACTCTAAATGTAGGTTTATCACTGATCAATAAGCTACATTTGTAATTTTAAGGGAACTGATACCTTTCATGGGATTTGAACTCGTAAAAACCGTTATTATTATTTAACTTTTAACCTCGTAATCAGCACTGAAGACGTGAAAACATATGATATTAGTTACTATGAAGTCATCGATTAGTGTGGACGTTTGTCATATCTTGGATCAGATGGGAATTCTATGTTCCTGTTACAACTTACACCTTTCTACTCAGTTCGAAATATATTAACGTGAACACCCTCAATTTCACTTTAGTACTATTCCCTCAATGTACTTGTTCTAGTTAGACTCCGATTACTCAGAAGATGAAATTAACCTGTGAAGCATAAATAACATTATGTACATATATCTATCTCAGTGATTAATAATTACATTTAGGCAATTATAACTTCAAACGCAATTTACCACTTAATACATTCTAGAACTAAGTGAATAATTAGTTATCATAATACAGTAGTATCGCTTACAGGAATAAATAGTAACAGAATTAATCAAGGCATAATGAAATTTTAACTGGCAAGTTATTATTATATTACATTAATCGCTATTATTCAACGATTTTCGTCTATCTGGACTAATGATACTACTATTAGATTGCCTATACTATATGAAATAGTGTTCAGGATTCGAACCGGATGCTTATCGATTAGTAGTTAACTACTTCAGCTGTTAAATCATCCATCCGAATTCCTTGTTATTTTCATCATCTTTCATGCTCATTTTTGTTGTTGTTGTTGCTTAACTGAACATCCTGCCGTTGTTCTTATTTTTCTCCTTTATGTTAATGCTCATATACGTTTTTGTTCTCTTTAACTTTCAGCTGATCCTGATAAAGCTTATAAAATATTTTTAAAAAATCATACTTGTTATGATCTAATACCATTGAGTGCCAAATTAATCGTATTCGATGTCACATTAAATGTAAGTGTAATTTAATAGGCATGTATTCATTTATTCATTCATTCGTTCAACTCCCTATATTCTTAGATAATCATGAATCATTATTTTTCTCCTCTTTGTACATAGGTAAAGAAAGCATTTTTCGCTTTAGTTTACAATGGTGTACGTGTAGCTATATTGTGGGATTCCACTGAACAGAAACATATTGGCATGTTAACTATTACAGATTTCATACATATATTACATCGGTACTATCGTTCACCAGATCAACCAATGACTGAGTTAGAAAAACATCAAATTAAAACATGGAGAGGTAATTGTTTATTTTAAATAAAAAGAGTTTTACAGAGATCATTTTAATTTGTAAGTGGTAATCGTCATATTCTTACGCTGTTGTCTCAAAACCTGTAGATTCTGGGTTCAGTCTATGATAGTTCAGGTGTATATCTTTAATGTTGTTGATAGTATTGTGTCTTGTGAGATGGATAGCTATAATTCAAATATAACAGCATCATCAGGGCTGTATGAGAACCTGAAGTGTAAATACTCATGCTTTCTATGTGAAATACAAATTTATGTCCTATAAAACCATTTGTTCCGTATATAACTAAAGGGGTTAGGAGGCAACATTTACAAACCTGGATAAGATTCATCACCTCATTAGACTTTATAGGTTTAGTATTAACTTATATTTTATGTGAATGGCTTATACAAAAAGGGAAAGCTAAAAGCTAACAAATCAGTTCATAACATATTCGTCCACGAAATGTTTGACTGTTGACCTGAGCTTTGTATAATAGTAGGTATCATTACCAAGTCTTAATTTGATAATTTCGAATAAATTGAGCATTGGGTAGATTGTTATAGATAAATTATATATTTGTAATATCCCAATGAGTAGAAAAATTAGATTTTCTAATAATAATAATAGTGTATTCTACTGAAGTTGAGGTTAGTAATATGACTACAATCAACTATCATAGAATCAATGTAATCTGGTTCATATTGATTATGGTGATGACATAAATGCATTAGTTCCTAGATCTTCACTTATACCCTAAACAATGTATAGTAACATTTTATGGCTTTAATTGTTGATTTTCATTTGTTCCACTTAACTTATATTTTTGGTGTTAAGTTTTCAACCACCACAGATGTAATCATTTTATACTCAGTCAGTCAGTCAGCTACAACGTAGGACCAGGCACATATATACATCAGTCCAAGTGGCCATACCTCGTAAGCACAACAAGATGAACACCGAATTAATAGAAGTAGTTAATTTAGTGGTGGTAATATATAAAAGATAGGTTGTATGTAAGGAAGAACGTTATGAAGCAATTTTAATCTCAAGGTTTAAGGGAAGATAAAGAGTGTATACACCTGCGCCATTGTGATCGATTCTGAGCCATGTCACCTAGAGTCTCCAACCAATGGTTACGATAGTCACACAGACCCCAACCAAGTAGTCTGCATCTACCAACATGGCTCAGACTAGAAGTTAGTGACTTCAAGCACTGATGCCACGTTTTGGTTTGGCCGCCCCTAACTTTCTTCCAACCATCCCCTACACTAGTCAGCATAGCGCGTCATGGTAATCGGTGTTCAGGCATACGTAACACGTGGCCTAACCATCTCAGTCGATGAAGATTCATAATCTCATCAACTGATTTACCATCATTTCCTAATGCACTGTGTCTAACCTCACTATTACTTACCCGGTGATCCCAGCATCATTTTATACTAGTGATTGCTGTAAACCGTAACAATTTGAATCGAAATACATTTATATGAAAGTTATACGTTGTTATATGTCAATATATCTGTGTCCTGTGAGCATTTATACAATAAATAAATCGGTGACTTTTCAGTCTTTGAGTCAATCATAAGAAATGTAGAATTACCAACGTACCATATCAGGACAGCGAGATGAAATTATCAAGATGAACACCGAAGTTTTAGAAATAGCAATAATATGAGCGCTAGTGATAGGAAAGATAAGTGATAGACGATATGATACGAGAAGAAATATTTTAAAAGCGACTTTAAACCAAAAGACCTAATATAAGCCAAATAGTGGCTGAAACTGCGTCATCAGTACCGATTCTAAACATCATCGCCCTGTTGGTGAATAGATTCGAACACTGTCATGCAACAACAAGTAATGGTTAATGTAAACTTAAAAAAATTATTTATTATAAGTTCTCATACTCTAATCGATCTGATACTAATCGTATGTTAGAAACCTCTATGTAATTAAGTTCGTTTAGTCAAACCATCTGTCTAAAATTATTATATGGGAATCTAATGTGTCACTATTTGACGTAGTTTATATATAAAGCCTCCATTATATATATTACTCATAGAATAATATATCACACTGTTTCCATCATTGTTTACACGTGTAATGATGTAATCAAGTGAATGAATCCTATCAATATCAACTACAAGGTATTTCGGTTTGGAAGATGCTTACCATTTGAATGAATATCATTCGGAAAGTTTCCTCATTTCAACCAAGCAACTTTAGTATGAAGCACTGGCAAATAATTTAAGATTTTGAGTTAGTAAGTCAGTGGAGATCAGTTGAAATTCGACTTTTTCATGGATTAACATTAACTTGGTAAAATCATGAAACTGTAAACAACTGTTTTTTCCTACCACGGGGCTCTTCAGAAATGAGTTTCTAGAATCCTTATGGTTTTACGACGAACACGTTATCTTTAGACAGTCAGACTTCAACTCAAAAGTCCATGGTTTTATTCCTGGTGGCCAAACAATGGCTTCAAGTTGCTAAAAGGTCTCATATTAAAGTAAAGTAACTGTCCAACGCTCCCTGGATTTGATTGGCTCTACAGCCTAAGTTTGAAATGGTTGAAAGTAATGAACAGAAAACTCTTTTTTGGCAAAACTATCACCACTAAGGACTAGATGGATATGGCATTCATTAATATTTAGTGATATTTATTATTTATTTATTTAAACACAAATATTGGTACAAAGGGGCACCAGATATATATGCACCACACAAATCTCATTTGATTTGTGTGATGGTTGTGATACTGCCCAGGTGCCCAGACCGAAGCAGGCGGTTTTCTTAGAGGGCCACACCCAGAGCCTTCGACCTAAAGATCTCATCTACAAGGCAGTAGAGCAACTTCAGGAGATGCAGTCCCATGGTAGCCGGTGACCAACAATTGGTTCATACGTCATTTGTTCCATCAGGATACTGGAGTCCATGTGCACCATTGGTTTGGAATCAGGGTTTTACAACTCCCCTACGTGAACTCGCCATGTCCACCAACCCGGTTAAAGCACCGGACATTGGCTTTTCGTCCTCTCAATTTCGTAAACAACAATAATGCCACTGTGAGAAGGCAGTGAGTAGGACTTCCCTGACAGAGGCTATATGGTTCAAAAGTCAATCAGTGGTTCAATAAATTTATATCACTTCTTAGTTCAACCATCTCTTGCTTATTATCCTACCTACACTTATTCCATTCACCACTACATGCACAGATAGATTGTAGTTGACCTTACGTAATACTTGTGTTAGTCACCATGATTGATGAAAATAAATGTATATGGTAAAGTTGGATTGTAGCCAGCAATGAAATCTAGGACGTGGATTTCGTCTTATTTAAGATCGTTGGCTAGATCTACCTTCATCCTAGTGTTGGTGTTAGTGGTTGTCTAAACCCATTAGCTTAAAGGAAAATGAGTTGGTATTTGAAGTGAACTTAGTTTAAGTCCTGCTGTAGGCTTCAACACTGACATACAGATACATCTACATAACAAGTTCAAAATGGGTAGCGCTACTTATAGGATTATGGCTCATTTAATAAATTCTTTGTGGGAGAAACACAAAAACTCGCTCAGAGAATTTAGAGCAAATTATTCTATCGGATTCCTAGCCTGTATTGACCAAGATAGCTGGATTTTACATTTTGGATCACTACCGATTTGTCCTCCTTGGACAAAAAGAGAGTGGGAGTGATCAGTAGATGTAGAACATATTTAAAATTATCTCACACTAATAACATTAAATTACTCACTAAAAGTCATCTTCAGACTTCAGCTAGAAAGTTTTCACGAGACATTAAGTACTGGAGAAATCTTTCGTTCTAGTATTCGACTTCTCAGTAGTTTCGTACTCACTGGTGACTTAATTCGAGAATTCGTATGAGAAACCACGAACGGCCGAAATCAATCAGATCAGAGATGAAAATTTATCACTGAAAGCGATAGATGAATGGTTTCATATGGAATACTGTTATCTATTGCTCCGTTTGGTCAACTGTGCTTTTATTTTGCTGAGATTGTAAACTTTTCTATTTTAATCTACGAGATTATCATTGATCTATGGTTGAAGGCTAAATGAAATATCCTTATTCTCATTGTATTTAGGGTTTTGTAAATCACAACAGTAAACTTTCTCAATTTGACATTCACTCATTAGTTTTTCAAATCAATCTAATTTTGAAGTCTCTACAGAAAAAGTTACGGAAATTCACTTATTTGTTTTATTTATTTATTTAAACACATAAATATTGGTACAAGGGGGCACCAGATATATATGCGCCACACAAAACAATGAGAATGGAAAGAGGAAAGGGGTAAGATGCATATAAAAAATAAGAGTAATGGTGCGGGAAACTGAAATGTACAACCAGAAGAACTCTTTCAGTTAAGGAGGTCATGATCACGCTTTATAAAGAAAGTAAAAGAAGGTTACAGCAGGATCGCCACTGGCTTCTATTCTGAGCCATATCTGATAACGTCTCTAGCCACTGTGTTGCACCATCTCTCGGACCTCAGCCAAGGAGTCGTAGAGGACCGACAGAAGCCAGTCCTTTGCAGCTTTCTTTCATACCACGACACCATGTCATACATTGACCACCTCCGCTTTTTCCTACCAGTCCCAGAGTCGGCAAATAATACACGACGTGAAATTCTCTGGGACGACATTCGTAGAACATGTCTAATTCACCGAAGTCGGTGTTTCAAAATGATGACACCAATCGATCTCATCACTCACGCCCCACCACCAGCACTTATGCAGCTACCTAGATACACGAACTTCTCAACTACTTCAATCTGCTCACCACCCAAGGTGAGTACAGGAATAGAATCCTGCCAGTCTTGTAAGAGTGCTTTGCACTTTGAAGATGCAAAGCACATACCGTACCTGCGGACACTGATTGCCAACTGTTTAAGTGTGAATTGCGTGTCTATGCATTATCACACAGTAAGACAATATCATCCGCATACCCAAAGTCGATAAGTCTCCAGACAACATATCCACACCGCCAT